GCTCAAGTAGATTACATGGAAGATTTTCGATTCCATATTGAATAAAATTCTGTGGAATTATCCTGTTATAACTGAAAAGGTTTCTGGTTTCTTTGAAGCTCTCACAAATACGATTTCACACACACACACAGCCAGACATTCACATGCATATGGTTAATTAGGGGTATTCCAAGGTATCGAAAAGCTTCAACTCTTTTTGCAATCCGCCGGACAGAAAACTTAGCTCAGTTGATATTGAGAGAGTTTGTAGATGCTATGAAATATTCAAATAAAACTTTAAATTATATTACTATACTATGTGAAAAAATATGTGCAGGATTGAATTTCCTTCACATGTATACAAAATATATATGCTATTATGTAGTTTAACAAAAAATCACATACATACGCACGATTTTGATATACATACATATTTTACATACCAGAAAAATAAATTGACACATAGAGAGAAAGTGAGAGAGAGATAGAGAGAGGGAGAGTGAGAGTGAGAGTGAGAGTGAGAGAAAGATATAAAGAGAGAGAGGGAGAGATAGAGAGATAGAGAGAGAGAGAGAGAGAGAGATCGAGAGAGATTCAAAGAGAGAGAGATTACAAATTAAAATACAAAATCCATGTCTTACTTCAATTTTTGAGAATCACATAGAAGGGTAATATTTTCAAGCGCGTTTCAGTTATTTTACAGTAAATTTGTGTTATTTGAATCTGCGTTTTGTGTGAAAGAACATATGTGAGTAAAAGCATGTATCCATACCAAATATGCTAACTATTTAGCATTATAGTATTATTTTGATATACATACACAAAAGTAAAGAAAATATTAATATATTCAACTGCCAAGATCCTTGCTCATTAGTAGAGAGTTAACACAATTTATGTAAAGCCCCAAATCTGTGTTGAGATATATCCAAGTTAATAAAAATCAGTTTCTTAAGCTTTGCGTTCACATCATGACATGATACGAGTTGAAAACTTTTTCCGATTGGATTTACGAATTGTGGGTGAGCTGTGTGGCGCAATGAACGTGTATTTGTTATTTGGCAAAAGTATTTTAGCAGCGAGAAGACAAAGCACAAAGTTTGCTTTGGCCAGGGCTATTTTTTTTGTTTCTCAGTGCACAGAACTCAACAGCCAGAGATATCGGTCAACAACTAATAAAACTTTGTGCGGCATTCAAAGAGCGTAGAGCACGAACTCATATGGTTTTCTGCTTTCGGCGTAGCGAACACCACCTGACTGTGGAAAAGGCAGCGTATATAAATATTTGAAAAGTTGCAAAATGTAGCAACAAATACAAATACGGCCAAAACGAGAAGAAAAAACATAAAAATATTGCCAAAAGTGAGCTGCTAAAAATAATACAAACTAATTGCTGGAAATAAAGTTTGTCGTTCAAAGTGGTTTAATGTGTAAAACGGCATTTTTTTCCCTCATCGTTGCCATGAGTTCTATTAAACTTTTTTATACATCTAGTTTTTCCGAAGCAACACCCAAAAGTTGTGCAAATTGTGCGGAATTTTTAAATATGTCCCACGTTTTTTTTTAAGTTTATTTTTATTTTTTGCAGCATGAATTTGTGTGGGATTCGGTGGGTATTTTTTTCGACTTCAAATTGGATTTCTTGTGCCGAACCGTGCACTCAATTTTGGTTTGGATTATCGTTGATGTGCAATAAAATGAAATGTGCTAAAAAGTTTTTAACTGGACAAAAGTCGTTGCCATGGAGTTTAGCGTGAAATACTAAATTTTTTTTCGTATGTTGCTAGCGACAATCGAAGAAATGTGAGCTCTTGGAAGGTTAGCTGCTTAACACCCTAACTAAAGTATAATGCTTATAAATTTGATTCAAGATAATATACAGAATTTATAGGTTGTATTCTGTCTACTACTTTGTTAGTTCATTGCAGGGTACATGGCAAAGGCTCAGTGTATGGTACATTGCACTGGCATTAAATTATAAGATCATTGTATTGTTAATTGTACAGCGTAGTGTATCGTCTGTAATGAGATTTACCCTTCTGTAAGTGTATTAATAGATTGCATTATTATCATTTACTCGAAATGTGCCGGGTAGAAGTTAACATGAAGTTTATTTTAGCTGTGCTTAAGTCTCACTCACCTTCAATTGAGTTGCTTGCTTTGCAAATACTTTTATTAGCGTATAAAGCAATTTCCAACAGATTTGGCAACATAAATTAACAACTTTCGACGCTAAGCGTTACCCTTTCCTGGCGCCACGCCCAGCTAAATGGCTCTTGGCCCGCCCGTCCGCCTGCTTGGCCCCTAAAACTCAGTTGAGTCGTGACCTTTTTGGCAACATTAAAAGTGATAATTTCAATTCACACAGAGCCACTTGCAAGGGCTTTTATTATTTAATTTTCAAGCTTGTGCTAATAAATTAAGCACAGCATGTGGCAGCCGGCCGCCCACTCACAGTGTGCCACGCCCATTACTGTTGCCCCTGCTGGTGCTGTGTAATATAAACGAAACACAACACATGCAAAAACTACAAAAATACGAAAACTTTTGTTGAAATAAAAACCCTGCCCGTTTCCCTTAGCTTGATGTAGACATTCAAAGGGATTATGTGCCAAGTTTCCAGCTAGCAGTTCCTTGGCTCAATGCCTGCTCCGCTTCATGGTTCGTTGCCTTTTTCCTACACCCCGTCCATGTGTGCGCGTGTATCTTATACTTATTGGATTTACCCGGGCTACAAATCGCAACTAATAAAAATCACGCAAATCTTAAGCAAAAAAATGAAAATCGTTAGAAAGCGGCTAACGATGCTGCCAGCAATTTAGCCAAAATGTTTTTATTCAATTACGCATGTGAATTATGCAAGCTTTACATAGAGCATACTTCCAGACGGCCCACAGACCCATACTCCCCCACCCCCCTCCCAGACACCACCCGGCTTGGCAAGGGCAAACATTTCGAATAGAATAAAGCCACGCCCGCTCTTAACTTGCCTGCTATTTTTTTGTTTTTACAAATTAAGCAGTTAAGCCTTGCACCATGCACGCTATAAAACAAGCAAGTGCCACGTGAGCTGAGATTGCGCGACTAAGAGATACCCTATAAGTATGTTTATATGATTATCCTTGAGAAAATCACAATTTACATTTTTTAGCCCAATTGCAATTCTCTTTTTTTTTTTGTTTTTTAGAGAAAGTCTGGAAGCATACCAAATTTTCTTAGTCTTGTTCGTACAGTCTGAGCTCAACGAGGTTGAAGAAATGAATAGAGTATAAATTGTCTGGAAATACCCCAAATGATCGTTTATTATACGCATGCATCTTTTTAAGCTTTGACATGCCAGACTCTGTTACATTTATTAGCAGAACTACCTTTGCCACACACTTATATTGGTTACAGGGTATATTCAAACGAGTTGTCTGGCATGTATTCACTTATGCTTTGGCAAATTTGCATAATAAATCTATTTTCAATGGTTTTTTTTGCCTGTGTGTGTGTGTGTGTGTGTGTGTGTGTGTGTGTATTCAGCTTTTATCTATCGTTCGCTGTCTTTACGTATCAATGTGAGCATTATGAGACTTGGAGTTCTTTTATGTAGTTGGCAGACCATCAGCATATTTGGTTAACAGCTGTGCACGAGAGAGTGTGTGTGTGTGTGTGCAGCCATATTTGTTTCGCATAAGCACGCATACATCCATCGCATGCCATTGATCCGGTGCCTTAACTGCCTCTTAAAGTCCTCGTTATAGCCATCTTTTACTCAAGCATTTGGCAAGCGCTTTTGCGTACTTTGTATTTTTGCATTGGCAGCACTTTTGTTTTTGGCAGCGCTTTAAGAAACTTCTTTAAATCCTTTGAAGAAAATGCTAAAGATTTAACGCAAAATAAAATAAGTTTTTAATATTTGTTTTGTTGACATTTTTATAACTTTATTAGTATTCAAATTTTGGGTTTCCATCTGGAATGCCCTTTTTTTTCATTGTTTAAAAACTGTTTGTTAAACAGTTTCTTAACAGTTGGTTTTATTTGCTTTTTAATTGTTTCTATTTCTTCTGGTTTTCTTAACGTTTTTTATTTGAGACTTTAGTGAACAGTTTCACATTTTTTTTCACTCGTACACATTTCTAATGCAATTAAGTTGAATTAATTTATGTTTTAATTATATCGTTTTGGTTTTTCTCTCCTGTTCAATTATGCAGCACACTATAAATATGCATGTATATATATATTTCGGTATTTTTTCTGGTATTTCTTGTTGGTTTGCTATATTTATGCTAGTTTTACATCATTACAATTAACTAAATATTTATTTATATATATATATGCGCATACACATAAGCTATGGAGCTATAGAGTTTTACATATTCATTTAATTTACTATATCATTTGTTTTTACTGCCTCTTAATATGTTGTTGTTGTTGTTGTTTTTTTTTTTGTCTGTTCTGTTTGTTGTTTGCTGTTATATAATTTACAATTATATTTTACATGAACGCAAATTTAATTGTTGTAATTTTCGCACTGTTTCATTTTAATGAACTGCTCTATTGCGCATTTTCGCAACTCATTTTCATTTTTAATTACATTTTCGACATTTACTAGTAAATAGGGTGCTTAAAATTAAAAACTGAACATTTTATTTGGTATGTTTTCGCGCTTATACACTTTCGTACTAATTGAATTTTTAACTTTATGCAGTTCTCATTTGTTTTTCTTTTTTATTTTGCCGCCATGCCCTGTACCCATGAGCCTGACCTGTTCGAACTCAGGAACAATAAAAGCTGAGGACTTGAAATTTGGTATGTGGATTTTTAAATGCTATATGTTTAAGATTTTTAATGAGTGCTTTGTAACGCAATGCGAATGACAAAACAAAGTCATATAATTAAAATATTTATAAATGCGTTAAATTCAATAGAGTCTTAATTAGCTTTTGTGGAGTTCAAATCTATCTATGTACCTATAATATTTCACATTTGGGTACAGGGCATCTGCTAGTCGAGCGCACTCTTACCTGTTAATGCGCGTATTTTTGTTTTTATTTGTTTTGTTTTTGTTTTATATTTAGTATATGCATTTAAAGTTAATAGCTATATAAATATTTATGTAGTTCAGTTATGCACATAACAAAGTAGCTGCAGGATTACCATTAACAATATTTGTTTTTCATCTCTGATTTTTGAAAGCTTTTTAGTTTCTGCTATTGGAATTGGCTACATAGGTTTTTGAAAGCTGCTTTCGAGAAGGGTTTCAAATTTTAAGCAATACCAAGAAAATTTCAAAACCCAGACCAACGATTTTTGTACATGACATAAAAACAGCAAAATATATCAATTTGTTAGTATTTTGGAAATGTATTTTTGCGTATATTTTATGCTATTTTAATCAAAATTGTTGTTGGATTAGTTGTTGCTTTATAGCTAGACTTTTTATTATTTACACACATACACAATTTGAATTCAGTCTTTGGAAGAATAACATTTATATCGGTTTTATACATACATATATTTATATATATTATAATATTTTTTTTGCGCTACAATTTGTGAACATTTGTCGAATTAACACAAGATTTTAGTTAAATAGTTTCTCTGACTGTGAGTTGGTCCTAGATAGAACTGTATATAATGGAAATAATAATAACGTAAATAAATTAAAAACAAAATTAGTTTTACGAATTTTGTCGAGTATTTAAATTATTTGCTTTTTGTCTTAGAAGTGATAACATCTAAACTTAACCTCACTTTGCTTATATACAATAAAATTTCATGTTAAAATCAACTATTTAACATATGTGGATTAACATTCACAGCGGGCAGCAAAGTTAAAGCAAACTCTGTTAGTAAATGTAACACAGTTGACTGACCTAACAGCAGGCAGACACACTCACACACTCACACACTCACACACTCACTCACTCACACACACACTCGCACACGCAGTTTGAAACAGTTTTGTGGACTGTGCGCTTACAGATCTTTGCCTATAGATCACATTTGAAGCGCACCGTCAATTAATGTCACACACGCAGCTCATCCATCAGCGGATGTTGCTGCTGCTGCTGTTGCTGCTGCTGTTGCTGCGACTGTTGCTGCTGCTGCGAGTGCTGCTGCGTTGTGGTGGCCACAATCACGGGCACTGTGGGTGGCGTGGGCACTGGCATCAGGCCGCTGGCCGTGGTCAGCACCGTGGTCATGCTTTGATTATGATGATTCTGCATATGTTGCTGATGGGTCACCACGTGCTGCTGTTGCTGCTGGTGCTGCTGGGCGGGTGAATGTTGTTGCGCCTGTGCTGCCTGCGATTGCTTCATGCAGCTCTTTTTGGTCAGCGTGCCGCATGGATTGCCCAGCACTTGCAGCGCATGTGGCGGCGGCAGCATCCCACCGACCGCACCCTGGCCGGCATCCTGCATGGAGGATTTCATGTGCTTGGGCGGCGGCGGTGCACGATGCGGTATGTCCGCAAATTCCGGCGGCGGCAGCTGATGATGCTGCATAGCATGATGATGCGACAATATGGTAGCCGGATCGCTTTTCGCGTGTATGGTCAGCGTTTCCAGATCGCCGCATATGTTGTTGGGCATCTGGCCATTCTCCTGCCGCTTCAGCTTGGACTGCGGGCGCGGCTCGCTCAGCCGCGTCTTGTCCCGCTGATAGTAGACGCCCGCAAAGATCAGCACATTGAGTATCAGCAGCGAGCAGCCAATGGCTATGGTCACACTCAGCGCCGTGGAGTAGGCGGCAAAGCCATCGCTATCCTGCGAAGCACTTGCCGCACCGCCCGCATGCTCCGCATCCAGCATATCGTCCGGATAGATTTTGCCGCCGCCGTAGCGTGTGCCATTGCGCTGCAGCGACGACGAGGGTGAGCTCAGGTTCAGCAGCGAGAACACCTGATTTGTGAATATCGTATAGTTGCCCATGGCCGCTGCATTGGCGCCGCGCGACGTGTAGGAGGGATTGAGCGGCTTCACGGAGGCATCGCTGGCAATGTTATTGTCCAGATCGTCGTCGTCATGCAGCTGATGATGTGCAGCGGGCACATTATCGCCGCCTGGCTTGTGCAGATCGGGTATCAGATTCAACCAGAAGGAGAGGCGATGGGCGCGATAGTGATTCTTTAGTTTCGGCTTGGTGTCTGTATGGGGAGACGAGATGGGCGTAATTAAATTTGTTAAATTGGAACTAGCTCATTACGGTTCAATTGTACTAATTCAATATATTCTATTAAATATATTTAATAATTTATGCATATATTAAAGATTTGAATTCGACTTTAATCTAATATCAAAGCAATTCTCTAGTTCATTTGAACTTCGTTTTTTGTTAAAAGTATTTTATGGCTACTTTATGAGGATCTGGCTGGTCTCTAAAAAAGATTCTTGGGCGCACAGAGTTGCTTAGTTAGGGAACTAGTTCATTTTGATTAACATCAGAGCTTGCACTGCTTTATATTATATCTTGGGGTAAACAAAGAACTATGCTATATAAAACTTGAAAATGTAGCTATATTTTATGTATAATGGTTTGACATCTTTTAGAAAATTTAATCAGTCCAGTTTAAACTATGAAAAAGTGCAGCTTTCCTTTCTTTTAAGTTAACTCAGACTGTGCATTACGGCGATTTGTTTTATTGATCTATCAGTTTGTTTCGTTTACTAACACTCACCAAAATTCAAATACTTTTTGTGAATACTCTCGTAGGCCGTCCATTCGATGGTCTTGTAGCGACTGCGTTCCTGTCGGCTGCCGTGGTCGGCTTCCATTTGCTCATTGGGATTGCTGTGTTGTGTGCGTAAATTGTGGCACGGATGAGTACAAGCACAGTTGGGGTCAATGGAGACCGCAGAACCAATCAACACTTACCCGGAGCGCACAAAGTTGGACCAGTAAAACATAACGACCTCCGATAGACTGATTTCGGTTTTCGTATAGTTCCGAGTGAAATGATTTAAGCCACCGACGAGTGGTGCCCCAAAGATATATGGTAAGTCCTCGCCATGAATGCAGCCCTGACGCTGTAAAGTGTTAAATCAAAGAATCGAATTGAGTTGAATGTGGCCAGCTGAGCAACAATGATATGTTCCGGAATTCTTAAACTCACCTGTGGATAATCACCGAAGCGCGTCTGATAGTCGAAAACATATAGATACGAATTGCGATGATCTGCCGAATGTAAGTCCACAGTTTGTGCTGCTGGTGCCACCACCTGAGCGTCACTCAGAGCCTCCAGGGTTTCATCGCTGCAGGCCGAATGGGGAGAGAGAGAGAGAGACAGAGTATGAGTGAGAGCGAAAGAGGCAAGTGTTCAAATCAAATAACAATTTGATGTCGTAAAAATGTTCCGGCCATTTGCCGCATCGTGTTGCATTTAAATGTGCAACTAACAAGCCACTTTCAGTGCCACTTTGGATGCACTCCATCCTGATTTCCTGTCCGATGGGGAGCACACCAATGTCTGCCCCCTCACGCTGCCGCAGCCACGCAAGCAGCTGCCTTCAAGTTAGTTTAACGTTAAGCCTATTTAGAAAATATTCTTTTGCGTCTGATTGGCTGTCATTTGGTTTTCTTTTTCTTTTTGTTTTTTTTTGCTCTGCTGCCTTGGTAAGTTTTTCGTTTTTCTTTTGCTCGTTGTTTTTTTTTTTTCTTTATACATTTAAAATGCAATGTCGCCAAATTTGAATAAAAACCATTTGCCACATTTGCATACGTATCTCTCTAGCTGCAGTGACAAGCAAGAGTCTAGTATGCTGCTATTTTGCTGCATAATATTTTATGTGCCAGCCATAAAACTATATTTAAAAAATAAACATTTTTCTTTGTCAGTGACAGCAAATTTTGTTGTTGCCGCTGCCACAACGAGCGCCTCTTAAAATGCACTGAGCCTTGTCTAAGTGAAGTATAATTTTTTATTTATTTTTATTAAAGTCGGAATTCAGAGTTCGATAGCAATTTGCCGCCTGATAAGCCACAAAGCTGTGATTACAGCATTTAAAGTGTTATTAATATATGTAAACGTATATAGTTAATGATCTGTGTTTAGTTTTAAATACTTAACATAATTCAATTAAAATTAGTTTATTTGATTAATGAAATTAATTATTTTTATTTATTAATGTATTTATTTTTATAATATTACAAGGATTCTTTTTTCGCATTGCCTCTGCAAAATATTTAATACTATTAGGATTTATTTATTAATATTATTGCTTCACTCTTTGTGTTATTTTTTCTTCATAATTTTAAGAATATTTTTGCTTTTTATTATTATAAGTATTATTATTAATCTGATTATAATTAGTATTATAGTTGTTATTACTGTTAGTATTATTATCATTTAAATTACTATTTTTGCTTGATATTTTCTTTAATTTTAAGTATAATTTTGTTCAATATTTAACAAAAATTTTTTTTAGAAATTTTGTTAATATTGTACTATATGGTATGCGTTATTAATATTTTTCTTTATTAATTATTATTATTAAATTTTGTTATATTTATTATTATTTTTACATATTTGAATTTTTAAGTAGCCGGCTGCAAAATTTATTAAAATCAAAAATGTAAAAGTTAAAACAATTTTGTTTACTTATATTTCTTGTAATTATTATTTATATTTCTATTATTTGTATTGTTATCATTTGTTTATATTTTAAAATGTATTTATATTAAAATTTAATTTAAATAAACTTGAATTATGTCTCTATGATTTTTTCATTCAGTTATTTTTTTTTTTTAATTTAAGCGAAAATAGATTTGGAATTTAAAATTCAACTCCTTAGTCTGGTTACGTGGCGCGCATTTTGAAAAGGCTAGACTTTACTTAATAAATATTTATCCTGATTGCATTCATCGTTGACTTTCTATCAAATCCATTTGAAATATGCGCACGACTCTCTTTGATGGGGGCCATCAACCACCCATCTCTCACCCACCTCCCACCCACCACCCAGCCACCCACTCATGCCCAGATCCACTCGCAGTCTGTCAGAGATCAAGCGTGAACCGTTTGCTGCTTCAATGCAGGCAACTTAACGCACGTTTGCACAACAGCTTTTGCATAACTGGGACAGTCAGCGCTGGAGGGGCGGTTGGTTGGGGTGGGGGTTATGGATAAAAATAATAAATATTAAGTATACGACGTGGGCGCCGCTGTGTATATCAAATTCTTTGTATTTATATTGAATTTTGGCAAATATTGTATGCTGATTAAATTATGCATGCAAGGAACTCGTGATGTTATCAAAAATTCAACAAATACCATATAGAAAATACCTAGTAAATGCAAATGCAATACAATTATTGCAAGCAATTGTTGTTGTTGTTGTGTGCATTTTGGCCCAGACGCAAACATAAATATTGATAAAAATCAAAAGCAAATCATTTATGATTGCACATGTGAAGTTAAAGGGTAGGCGGGGTGCACATGTTCGGCAAATTGAATTGAACATTGAATATTGTGCATCGAGCTTTGGTCATTATTTATGAAGACTGACAGTGGGACAGGCAGAGTGGCAGAATGGCAGCAGCAGCAAAAAAATTTGCATTTCACTTGGCATAAGATTGAAATCAAGATTCATTTAAGCCGCTTTAATTGAAAAATCCCTCGCCACCAGCCACTGTGCCCAGCTCGATGTGAAGGTAAGGTACAAGGCAGCTCGCATTTAATTAAGAACGAAATATTTATTTGGGCGCGGCGCACAATCACAGCCGCAGGTCGTTCTTGGTACGTAGTGAGGGGGGGGGGGGGGGGGGTGAACAACAACAATAACTGGGTTTAACGTGGAGCAAACGCAATTACTCACCGGATATTAATTGGATGCTGCACCGGTCTCTCCCAGTCCGTGTATTCATTGACAATCGTCGCGAATATCTCGTTCAAATGGAATGTGTACGTGTTGCGAACGTAGGCCTTTAAAATTCTGGAGCGTCGATCTGCCTCGATGCCATATTGCACGTCGCCGGAATTGAAGCTGAAAAAGGATTCGGCACGTGTCACGCCAGCCATCAGGTCGTATCTGCAAATGAGCAATAAGTGCGTAAGTACGTGTATCTGCATCTTATGGATACCCAATTTGTCCTTTTTTTTTTGTTGTAGTAGGTTTTGAGTATCTTGTTGAGTTGCCCATAAACTAAAGCCATTCTATTTGGTGTTGCCCTTAGAGAAATGACCTGGCCGAGGTCTCTAAGAGTTATGTTGAAAAATTTGTGTTGTTGTTAAATCATTTGCTGTTACCAAGTGGAACCGAGGATATATTGATTTGAGTCAAGTGTTGGTCGGACTTAAGTATATTCGAGTGTATTAGCGAATCTTCTATGTCTTCTTTAGTTAAGGAGTAGAAGTTGAATTCCTACAGTTTAATACTCCTCAAAGCGGAATATACTTCACCACGTATATAAAAAAAACATTTGACTACTGATAATTTTAATAACTTATTAAAATGGCAACTAAATAAACTATTGTCACGCTTTATATTAAGCACCCATTTAAAGGCAGCTTCCTTTTCAAACTTACTTCCACACCAATCTCAACATTCTTACTTATTTGAATACGAAACTGATTACAGAATATTGTCAAAACAGTTTACCCAACTAATTTGGCAGTTAAAACTTAAATGTCCAGCAACATGAAGCACAGCCACAAAAACACTGCAGCAGAGCTGAACTTCAGCTGTGCCGCAAGACAAACAAAAACTCTTGACAAACATGATAGCTCGAGAGCTAGTTGAAAAATTTGTTTGTTTCGAGCGCTGCACTTCAATATTTGCCGAGTTGCACTTAAAAATTTATCTCTGCTTTTCTGCATAGATAAAATAGCTGCTGCTGTGCTTCTGCTTGTTGTTAGGGGGGGATATTTGGTTGGCTACTCTTTTGGTTTGGCTTGCATTTTATGTTGTGCCAAAAAGCTGTTTTATTTGTTCTTTTTGCATATGTTAATGCAATTCCTTTGCAAAAGTATTGAGCAAGCATGTGTGTGTGTGTGTCTCCTTTGGCATCAGCGTGTGCTTGTGTGCGTGTATGTGTGGGCGTGCCTTGGCCTCAAAGCAAATTGCTTTTAAATGCGCACAAAGCAATATTTATGCTCCTTACGTAGCTTGTGACTAATAGCCTCTTGGGCACTGACAGTTTACAAAGCGCTGAGCGAAAGAATGAAATACTTTTTCGCTTAACGGCCAGCAGCAGCAGCAGCAGCAGTTGCAGCAGCTGGCAGGCGCATCAACAGCCAAACTGCAGCTCAGCAGATCTTAAGTGTGGCTATGCTAGATGTGTTCACATAAGTACATATATATATATATGTACGGCAACACATACCACATGCTTTTAACAAGCTGCTCTTCTTCATTCGAGTTGCTTGAACCGCAGCATCAATTCCCAGTAAGTAGCTTGGGTTTTAATGAAACACCTTTTTCTGTTCTAACTCCTTGAGGCAGCATTTCAGATTTTTTTCGGTTTACCTTAATGCGATTGCATTGTTTATTATTACACATAGGCAATCAATAATCAATGGTCATTTAGTTTCCTTTCGTAATTATTATTTTAAAATACTTTAATACCAATTGGATTGTTATGATACTTTAATTTGGTAGAGCACTATAAATAAATAAGTTATTATTTATTAATTTATGGCTTAGCTGGCTTCAGGTCTCAGTTTCGATTCAAGCAAACAATTATTATCCTTTTATTAGCCAATATATTTAGACTGTGCTCTGGCAGTCTTCTTCGGCGCCTAAACTCTTATGTTATACGTGGAGTTATTTTTATTTATAATTATTATTATTATAAATTATGTTAATCCTTAAAGCTCTGCAGTTGCAGTGCCCCTCTTATCCTTTCCAACAATTCTTTTATTTAGGTAAATTATCTACAGACAATTGCTAATCCGAATATTCCTTTTAAATGAATCTATAGATATAAGTTAAGCTTACTCTCTGAACTGTTTAAGCCCTATTCAAGTTAATTGTTTATATATATACATATACATACTTATGTTGTATGTATTGTATTTCTATCAAGGTTCTATTGATTTTTTAGTCAGGGCTGTCAGCTCGATTTTTAATATAATATATATATATATTGTTTATACTTATATATAAAATGCTATTTAACAATTTATACTCTATTATATAATATGTATTATATTATTTTAGTATTATTTTACATATTATTATTTTATAGTCTATAGCTGAGAGACATTTACTGACTCCTCTTAATACATTGCCTTTTATTATCCGTTGCAACTCATTCTTTATGCTGAATTGTTTGCCTCACTTGAGCATTATTTGCTTTACGCATTTATTAAACATAACTCGGCTAATTTATTATTTCATTGTAATACTATTTGTTGTTGTTGTTTTTTTGTTTTTAACCCATTTCCAATTGTAAATTTTGCCTCGTAGTGGCGCAAATGGCGCATTAATTATGAAATCGCAGCTAATTAGCTGTTAATAATATATATATTAACAATGCCTAATGGCATAGCACAAAGTGCATAAATCAAGTGACGGTGCCAAAAACAATAGGCCACGCCCACAAGCCACCGCATTGCAGACCAATCTCCGTTGATGCCCCTCTACCCAGCAGGTTGTAATTGTATTGCAAAATGGAGTCGCGCATTTGCGTGGTTAATGTGCATAAATTAATAACAAAGCGTATGAGCGTGTTGTGCGTGTGCGGTGAGCGTATGTGTGTGTGTGTGTGTGTGTGCGTTACAGCATGGTCAACATGGCAGCTGGTAGGTGTAAGCTCTAAGCTTATCGCTGCCTAAGCTGACGCCATTTTGAATGTTCGCCGTTGCGAGATAAAATCTTTGAACAGCACGCAAAAGGCGGCAAAGTCAAAACTTTAAATTAATTATATTGCATACTTTTGAGCAGCAGCTCAGTGTGTATGTATGTGTGTGTGTGGTGAGCATGGGTTAAGGGCAAAAATAATTAAACAGCGGCTGGTTTGGCTGCGCAGCGCCAAGCCGCAAAAAAACTTACCTTGACAACTTGTTAATGGCTGTTTTTCTCATTAATACTGCATTAATTAAAAACGCCAACACACACGCGTGTGCGAGCACATGTGTGCGTGCGTGTATGAGTGTGTGTGTGTGTGTTAATGGCGTCAACAAACATGGCAGTTCACAAGTGCAAGTCGTCGTCGTTGTAAGTGACATCAGCAGCAGCCGCAGCAGCGTCGATGGAAGAGAAAAGAAGAAGGAAATTGACAGAAGTGCATCGCATTTTAATATATTTCAAGTGCAAATTTGAGATAAACAAATTGAAGATCTTCAGCTTCAGCCGAAGCTTAAATACACTTACTAAAACAAGCATACACAAATTAATGCCAATGGTAAATTATAAATGTGAATTGCAATAGAAACTAAAGCTCTTGAAACATTTCAATAACTTTTATATTAAATATAAAATTAACTTTATTTAAACACCTGGCTGATAAGCGATATTTATAGACTTTGGACAAACGGAGGGTATTTTCGATTATTTTAAATATAAATGCAAATATTAATTCTCGTATACATTGCTGACTCTATGAGCTTGACTTTATGGCAATCGAGAAAAATAATATAATTATGAATATGGATCGGGTTTCTTTAATGTCTGAGTATCATTTATTTTAAGAACTCTGAATAAATGATAAGCAGGAACTAAGGAATAATCCCAATTTCAAACATTTGATTGCTTAATCGACTCACATCAGACTCAAATTAAACTCTTAAAACTTCTCTGCATCTATTTGATAAATTTATTTGAATTGGCTACGATTTCCTTCATTCAGGTGTGACCAATGCTTTTATTCAAAATACGATTCAAAATACTTTATTATTTGAAAGCATGTACAATTTACACTCACCAATATTCTCCAGTTGACCGGGCGTGCCCCAGCCGCCAGCTGCAGCGATGCCCGCCTCGCCGCCCAGCCCATTTCCGGCGGCGGTCGACGCCTGCGCCTGTGCCTGGGCGGCCGGGGAGCCAGGGCGTGGCGGCACATAGTCGCCGCCATCGATGACAACGCCATCGATGCTGGGCCCAAAGGCGAAACCAAATTCTGGCGCTCTTATGGGCACACTGAGCAGCTGCTCGAGTGTCTTCTCGCGCAGGCACTTCATCAGATGAGCATGCGGCAGGTCCGAGGCGCAGTTCACGTGATGCGCCACAATGGCCGCATACTTGGCGGGATTGCTGACCAAGGACCAGGGCGCCAGTCCCGAGCCAGACATAAGCATGGCCCGATTAAAAAGCAGTCCTAATAATTATAATTTTACAGCACGAATGTGGAATGTGAATTATGGTATGTAGTTTTTTCTTTTATTCCGCACACTTACCCTCCGGCACGGCCATGGATGAAATCAGAAAATGCACACAGGCCGCACCAGTGCCGTGTCCGGCGAGTGTTATGCTATTCGGATCCCCGCCAAAGGACGCAATGTTCTCCTTCAGCCAGTGTAGGGCCGCAATGATGTCCATCAGGCCGTAATTAGCGGGCAGCTTTGAATAGCGATCCGTGTTGGCGTTCAAAAATCCTGCAAATAGTTGCGGCATGGCCGTAATAATTCATCAGCATTTTCTTGTGCATCGATGAGTGGCAGCGGCAGCGGCAGCAGCAACAGCAGCAGCAGCAGCAGCGACAGCACCAGCAAATGAAAATTTAATCGAGAATGGCGGCACAGCGATTTTTCTACTATTTAAAATGTCAGACACATGGGCGCAACACTTGTGAAAATGTGTACAGTCACGCGTGCAAATCATGATGTCAGCACTTCCGTTTCCGCAGCAGCAATACCAGCGCGAAGAGAGCGAAGGGGGGGGGGGGCGGGGGGTGTGCCGGCGGCAGTGGCAGGCATTGCTTCTAAATGAGGTCACACTAATTTGGTGTGCATTTGTATTTGTACCATGGGCAGAAAGTACGCGAAAAGCTGCATTTTCGATGGACGTTAAACTAGCTGCTTGCAGTTGTTGTTATTTTTATGATTGTCTATTCACAATATAAAAGTATAATTATAATATTTATTTCTAATTTTATAATAAACTGAAAACTATAAATATATTAAATAATACCTATCTTTTAAATATAAAAAAATTAATATTAATATAAATATTAAAAAAATATTTAATTTTATTTAAAATTTTTTTTAATATATTTATTTTGTTTAAATATTTTTTTTAATATATTTATTTTATTTTTTTATATATCTTTTATATTTATTTTTATTATATACCATAAATCTTTAAATAGTTAAATATAAAAAAATACACACAAAAAAAATACATATAAGAAATATTTTTAGTAATCTTAACTCAAATTTAATTAAATTAAATTGTAAATTATTATTATAATGAAATATATGCCTTGTAAAAAATGTTATTTTTAAGTACAATTGGTTTTTTTGTTATTTACAAAATAAAATAATTCTGTAAATTTATTTTAATTATTTTTAATTTTATGTAGTTAACTTTAATTTAAATTTCAAATATTTAAATTTTTTCAATTTTAAAAATTTTAAAAAATATATATGAGTTGTTAGACATGAATGAATTTTATGTTTCTAATTTTTAATAAATTTGTATTATATTATTTTTATATAAATTAAGAACAACAAAATTTATTATTTAGTTGACGTTAAATTCATTGCATGGTTTTTACTTTCATATATTTAACTTTAATTGTGGTTGTCAAATGTTTTATTTTTTTTATATTAATCAATAATTATGTTAATGTTTTTTCTAGGAAAACAAATTTTGTATTATTTATTTTTCATGTAGCAAGTTCCACTGTGCTGTATATACTTTTTCATTGGATGCTAACTAAATTAGTTAGATTATGGAATGGGCATTTGCCACGTTGCTGCTGCTGCTGCTGTTGTTTTTGTTGTTTTTGTTGTTGTTGCTGCTGCTGTTGAACGGAAGTGCAGCCATTGCTGCAGTGGCTTAAAAGCGAATCGGCCATTGGACACGTTGCAAGCGTTTGGCTCGATTCGCAGCACTTGGTTGCGTACGATGAGGGCAGCATATCAATTAGCATTAGCATTTGAGTGTGTGCGAGCACTTACCGAGCACTCCGAGGCGATAATTTATGGTTACCACCAATATTTGTCCATAGCTGGCCAGCACGGAGCCATCATATGGATTGCCGCTGTTCCACTCATACGATTCGCCATGCACAAATACCAGCACCGGATACTTGGCCGGGCCACCACTCGATGTGGTAGATGACGAGCTGCCAGAGTTGCCACTCGTCGAGCTGCCACTGCTCGTTGCGTCCCGGGAGCCCACTAGAAAATAATTAGAGAGAAAAAAAGGAAAAAAAAAATAATTGTAGAATATGTTTTCCATTGCAGATAACGGCTGAGAATTTGGTTCAATTGTTTTTGGCTCAAAAAAAAGGGTACAAAATATAAATTAAATGTGTTATAGCTGAAGTCTCCTGCGGTGCAGACAGCTGTTCGTAATGGTGGCTGCATTGAATGGCTGCCATCGAGCTAAATGTTGAGCTTTGATTTTTCGCCAAGTTTTCAATTTGCATTTAAATGCTTCAATTCAAACTCTTCTGCTTCAAGTCAACCCCCATGTTGGCCATTAATCAGCATTGACATGAATGTCTAAGGGGTTAAAAAAAAACCAATCGCCTGTCAAGCGTCTTAGAGTCAAGGCAAACAAGGTCCTGCAAGCCCAAGACAAATGAGTGTCTTAGCCCAAAATAGGCAAATTACTGGAAAACAACTCTTTTTGAGTGCCGATCCGAAAAGTCAACGCAGGTCGTACCGCAAACTGCGGCACGTGTCTGAGCTCAGCACATTTGTTAACTTTCGGGCCGACAAAACAAAATCAATGCTGGCAACTCTGTCCGAAGTGTAGAAAGGTTGAGTAGTCATATGAGCGTGGGTATTATGAGCAGGTAGAGTTGGGCAAAGGTAGGGACTTAAGTGCTTAAAGTTAGACAGCTATCTATGAGAAAGGTTTCCTCTATATGGTTGAGTATTATAATCATTTATATTTGAAAATGTTTGTTTAAATCAAATAAAACTGATGCAGTTTTGCAATGAGAATCTCAGTCGACAATCGAGAAAATGCGCAGAAGACGAGCACTTAGTCTGCATTTATTATAAACAATATTCAATTTTGAATACCAAGAAATAATATTTGTTAAGCGCAAATGAAAAACTGACAGTGGTTACATGTATGTATATTATAGGTACGTTTTGGAAGTTTTACTTTTGTGCAATCATTAGCGGCATAAAACTTTACAGCTGTCAGAAATAGAACACAATATTGGCATCAATGCCAGGTCCATCGAAGAAGAACAAGTCTCAAGTCTCCCAAAAGTAGGAGATCAGAACATTTTCTGCCTGATAACGGACAGGTGCCTGCAAAGGTTACACTCCTGCGACCTACCTAAGAGGCGATTCATTGAAATACCTTCCAGTCTAAGGCCATTTCATCAATCGCCCCACCATTGTAAGTATCCACACCATTGTAAATACACCTCAATGTAAACTCCATGTAAGCTACAAAACATTATAAATATACCCTTATTTCACAGGCTTTCGCTCGGTAGAGCTCAAAAGGTACGGATTTACACCAAAATAAACAATTAGAACATACAAAGCCCTTATGAAATTTGTCCAAGATTTGACTGTTTGAACTTTGTGTTTTGGACTCTATTGACAACTTTTTTCTGAACGTGTTTCATATAGGTATTATACAATCAATTTGCTCAAGGAAACACTTAACTTTGTGTATATTTGCCAGTTTTTATGAACAAATTGGATATTAAATGTTATTCGAAACATATTTATTGATATCATCCTTTGTGGTGTCTGTCTCGACCTTCGAAACAATCGAGTGAAAGTGACCCCAGTCGTTTTCTTCGCTGCACTTGCAGCAAATATTGTGTTTTTTCATATATGTACGTGTTTGGCATTTTGATTGTCTACCACCCCAGATTGGCCAAGTCAAGTTTTGCCAAGCCAAGCCCTACATAGATATTAAAGCTGCTCTACTTACTTCAAATTTTGTGCAACTAAAAATACAAAATTGCACTCAAAATGCATTCATCTAAGATACACACACACACACAAAGAAGAGTATCTAGTGCAGTGCAGCATCTTTGGCAGATACATATCCATATCGCATGTATCTGAGTGCATGTATCTGCACGAGTCAGCAGCAGCAGCAGCAGCAGCAGCCAGAGCCTTGCCACATGGCAAGCTCGAACAAAAGCCACAACAACAGCCCCAACAAGAAAAAAAAAGACAAAAGGAATATGAGCCATGAATTCTTTCGTGCCCATATATAAAACTGTGTTTTTTCTGCTCTCAGTTTTTCATCCTTTTTTTTTTGTGTGTGTGTTCAAAGTATATACACTGGAACAAAAGAACTTGCTTATCAAAGCGGAAAAAGAGTTGCTTGTGTGTGTGTATGTGTGTGGGTGTGGGTGTGGGGTTTCTGTATTAGAAGTGGCAAAACGAGCACCATACTCCGCTTAGAGGCGGGTCAGGCAGAGGCAAAAGCAAGCTACTGTGTCAGTGACTTTTATAAATAGCGTCAGGCATGACACGAGTCACAGACAATGAATGCCACAAGCCCAACTTGCTACATCAAACTTGCTTAACTGGCTCAATTTCTCACTCTCTCTCTCTCTCTCCTTCTCTCTTGCACTCCATCTCGCTTATCGTCGCATCTGAGCAATGTCAATATCTATTTAAAGTCAGCTCCTCACACAAAGTCACATTCACACCTCGCATGACGCTAATTCAATGAGTTTCATTCACGACCTGCTGCTGCTGCTGCTGCTGCTGTTCCTGTCAGTCGTCAGTTCTAGCCAGGTGTAAAGTTAATGGCTATGTTTAAGCCAGCGCTCACACACACACACACACGCCCTAATTTAAAGCCAGATAATCACAGTGCTATGGCAAAACTTTACACATAAATGACAGCTGAAATTGAAATTTGAAAGTTGCCTTGCCGCCTTTAAATTTGTCAAATTTATTTGTTTTGCCGGTCTTAGATAAAGTTCAAATGGTAATTGTATATTTTAAAGTTTTCTTAAACGATCAGCAGGTCTGCTTAAAGGTCTTCAATCCTTCAAGAACATAAAGGTAATTGTTGTTAATTAATCATTATTTTTTCTTCAGAGATTTGATTTGTTGAAAATTAAGCAACCAAAAAAATTAAATGTTGTTTTATGCCTTTTAAATATGCTGTGTATATAGGAAAAAAAAACAAATAAATACCAATGCCTTTAAAAAATTGTACTTTAAATTATATATAAATAAATATCATAAATATTTAAGCTTAATATTATGCATACATATTTATTTGACAGTTTAATGGCAAATAAGTTGTTACATGCATTTTGAATGTCATTTTATTTATTCTTTATAAATAAATAATTAAAATCAAATATTATGGTTTCAAATGTTTTATAAATGTTTATTTTGTATAAAAAGTCAAATTATTTGCAAACTGTTGTGAAGCTCACAATATTTATACAATAAAAAAATTTGTTCGAATGTTATATAAATAAATATCATAAATAATTAAAAAAAAAAATATTTTATATATGTTTATTTATTATCAATAGACAAATTTTTGATAATGGCAAAATATTCCAAAAATGTTCAAAATTAACAAAATATAAAATAAAATGTTGTTTAAGTAAATTCTATTCAAATAAATTTTATAAATATAAGCGTTAAATATTTGATATGTGCCTATCTATTGCACATTTTTAGCAGCTAAAAACGTTTCTTTAAAAATATAACTCCTACACTATAATTTGTTTGTCTTTTGGCATTGTAAGTAAATAATTTGCTGCGCCTCACAAATGAGGCGCGAAATTAAAGTAATTTGTGGGGCCGCGAAGGCTTAGCAACCGCGCAACATGCAAACAGCATTTAAAACTTGTCTTGTACACCATTAAAAAACACAACAACAAAAAAGGAAGAAGAACAAGTAAGCCCAGGCCAAAAACTTTTGATGGCATTTCAACAGGATGCGGGGGGCATGACAAGCCTGGCGACGTCTGTTCTGTTGCTGTTTGCATGTCGCTGCACCCGGGGGTGCTACTTAACCAAAAAACTTTATGGCAGCCCCGAAAAGTCAGCAGACATATAAAAACTAGCGGCCACGCCTCCCGTGCCAACGTCCATAAGAAACCGACCCAACCGACAATCCGCCTTCGCATAAGGCAGCGACAACTGTCTTTTATGTTGCCTAAAAACTTGTAAAATAGTTTCGCTTTGCCACGCCACGCCCCGCCCCGCCCCGACCCAACTAGTTTGACGCATAATTTTGGCAAATGTAAATATTTTGTGCAAATAAATGGAAACAAATTTTAATGTACGTGCTGCATGTTGCATGGCCTGGTGTGGGCCGTCATAACAAATGCGAAGACAAGCGCTGTAACTGGCAAAAACTAATGCGACTTTCGGGGCATGTTAATAACTTGAACATGCTTTAATTCACATGCACGCTTGCTCTCTCCACGCCTCCGAGCCCAGAGGAACCCATAACCCCAACTACAACCATGTGGCAGCTAGTTTGCCTTTTACCCTTTTGCCATTTATTTGCAGCGCGGGCTAAATCTCAGCACTGAGTGCCAAAAGGAAGACACTGCCACGTGGCAAGTGGCAAGTGGCAAGTGGCAGGCTTCAGCTGCCTAAACTTGCACCCTTTTTGCTGTGTGCCGCTCGTGTGCCGCCTGGGGCATGTCTCTTTGCAGCAGTCAACCGTTTTCATGTTACGCCTCGGCTCGCATAAATTTAATCATATTTTGTGGCTACAATCTGCATGCGCATAGGGCCAAGGCCTAAAGCCCGCATAAACGAAGGCTTTTCGGCCAATTCCAACAGCGGAATGTGCGTGTGTGTGTGTGTGTGAAAATAATTCCTGGAAGACTGTAATGTATGCGACTGAATATATATTTAGAGGTCACAAATAGTCAACTTTTAATTAAGCTATCATAATATGTAATTGCATATCTGGATGTTTCTATAAGGTTTCAAATGTTGCTTGACAAACTTTATTTAATGTCACTGGAAAATATTGAAACAATCTAAAAGAGTTGGAAATAAATTTTATAGAATTTTTTTAAAATAGAAAACAATTTGCCAATGCCCTGTGTTTGTTATAAAACAAGAAAGTGAGGATACCCTCGGCACGCCGAAGATTTAATGGCCTGTAACTCGGTATTGCAGGTATGTGAGGATATATATTATATTGTCTCAGTCTGTGCGTTAAACAATCCATGTCCAAATTGTAATACCCTCTT